TTAGTTAGAAATTAATGGCTTTGAAACCAGAAACATTCTGTTTGGTTGTTTTGTTTTCCCTCTCTTTTGATTGAATCTATCAACTAAATCATTACAACTATCTACTTAGTGTTATGTTGACACATTCCGAAAATAATAATAAACACTGATTTCATTAAGTGAGTAAAAGGTACACTTCTCCCCCTTTAAAACAGACCAGAGATTGTAACAGTTACTTTATTCAAACAGATCATTTATTTTAGCAATTAGGAAAACCCCAGTTTTAGTGCAGAAGGCTGCTGTGTTTATGTTACCTTTAGTCCATTGCTCCTTTGAGAAACTAGCTATTTCTTAACTGGGTTCTTTAAAAGGAAACAAATGAGCTGTTTTTCTATGCAAATAGGACAAAATTTAGAAATTTTTCGTAGCTAGATGGCTGTGTAAATGTACTCTGAATTTATTCCATTTTTTAAAATTAAAAAACACCGTAATTGTCTATTTATTGGGCTCCATACTTAATAACCAGGAGCTCTGGTAGCGTAGTGGTTACGAATCGGGCTGCGAACCTAAAGGTCAGCGGTTCGAAACTACTAGCCGCTCTGCGGGAGAAAGATGAGGCTTTCTACTCCCGTAAGGATTTACACCCTCGGAAACCCTGTACAGGGTCGCTATGGGTCGGAACCGACTCGACGGCACTTAACAACAACAACAACAACATACTTAATAAGAGTCTAAGGAGTTTACTGATGAGCAGTTTCTTTAGAATCTCATTAGTAATCTAACATTATCATTACTACTTGTTCTTATTGTTGTTAAGTGCTGTTGAGTAGATTCCGACCCATAGCGATCCTGTATAGGGTTTCCAAAGAGCAGCTGGTGAGCTTGAACCACTGATGTTGCAGTTCAAACGACTTTGCAGTCTGATGCATTAGCCCACAGCATCACACCAGGACTCCATCATTACTACTACTACTACTATTATTTAAGGAGCCCTAGTGGCGCTGTAGAATAAACACTAGACTTCTAATTGCAAGGTTGACAATTCAAACCCACCAGAGCTGTTCTATGAGATAAAGATGAAGCTTTTTGCTCCCCGTATCTACAACTTTGGAAAACTCTATTAGTTGCAATCAACTAGATGGTAGTTGGTTTGGTTTTGACGTATTACTATTATGCATATGTTGTTTTTTTCTTGTTAAGTGCCTTCGAGTTGTTTCTGACACTGTATAGGGTTTCTGAGGAGCAACTGGTGAGTTTTAACCGCCAACCTTGCAGTTCAAACCCACTTTGCAATCCAGCGCATTAACTCACAGTGCCACACCAGGACTCTATGTAATTATTGGTGGTGGTGGGGGTTGTGTGTGCCGTGGAGTCGGTTCTGACTCATAGCGATCCTGTACAGGGTTTCCGAGGCTGTAAATCTTTACGGGAGCAGACCAACTAGTAACTACTACGCTACCAGAGCTCCTTCTATACATTGTTGTTGTTGTTGTTGTTATGTGCCGCGGAGTCAGTTGCGACCCATAGTGACCCTGTGCAGGGTTTCTGAGGCTGTACATCTTTATGGGAGCAGAAAGCCTCATCTTTCTCCCGTGGAACAGCTGGTAGTTTCGAACAGCTGACCTTGCGGTTCACAGCCCGATTCGTAACCACTACGCTACCAGAGCTCCTTCTATACATTATTATATGTTTCAAATTCAAAGTTCTGCAGTTTTAAGGAGATTGTAGCAATTAAATTCAATATTCAACCAAATGAGACTTTGAGCACGATAGACACAATGTCTGCAACAATGGGCTCAGATACAACTGTGAGGCTGGCACAGGACCAGCGAGTGTTTCACTCTGAGTTGAAGCAAACTTGATGACAAAACTAACAACACAAAGCATATTTATTTACCCACTTAAGCAGTGGCATTTAAAGAAACTGAAGACTCACTCATAAAAACAGCCACAGCACCAGTGTTCCGTGACTCTGTTTCTCCCTCTGGGTTACTGCTGCCTCTCTTTTCTCTTCACACCCCAACTCCTCAAGAGCTCTCTTTCCTCTTCATCCACTCATTTCTTAATCCACTTTCCTCTGACTGTAACCCTGTCTACCACAATAGCTCTAATGCTCCACGAACCCTTTTCAGTCTTCATGTTATCCAGTTTCTCCTTTCTTGAAACACTTTCTTCTCTTGCTTCTAATACTCCTTTGGTTTTTTTCCTGTATTCAGTGTCTCTTTTGTAGATTACTATAAATGACTGATAGATGTTCAACTTCCTCAAAACTCAAATCGTAGGCCCTCTTTTCATTTTTTCATATCTCTGAGATAATATCATCCATTCACATGCCAACAACTTCCATGAATACGTTCTCTTTTGAACTCCAATCCTGTGTATCCAATTCTGTAGTACACTCCATTCTCTTGGAGATCTTACAGACTGTTCAAACTCACCATGTCTTGAATGGAACTCACGATCTTCACCGCTCCACACCTATGTTTGATGTCTCAGTGAATGGCAGTGTGATGCACTCAGCTGCATAATCCACAGACCTAAGGATTGGTCTTCAAAACTCCCTTCCTCTCAGTTCTGCCATCCATCATTTCCAAGACATTGTTGATGCCTTCTAAATATCTTTGAGTCATCCACATTTCTCTATCTCTGCTACTGCCCTAATTCAAGTTAACATCTTTTCTAACCTGTGGTAGTCATCTGATTTCCAACTCATCCCTCTTTTTTGGCTCTATCTGCCCTCTCCACAAGGATCCCTGGTGGCACAGTGCATGAAATATTGGATTTCTAACTGAAAGATCAGTAGTTTGAACCCACCAGCTGCTCTGTGGGAGAAAGATGAAACAGTCTGACTCTATAGATTTATAGCCTTGGATACCCTATGAGGCAGTTCTGCTGTGTCCTCTCAGGTTGCTATGAGCCAAAATCGAATCCATGATAGTAGTTTGGTTTGATTGGTCCTCCCCATTGCAACCAGAGTAAGCTTTGGGGAAAATGCAACTCAAATCAAGCAACTGAATACTTAAAACACTTCAGTAACTTTCCATTGTCTGCAGCATCAAATCGATAATACTGTACTTTGAGGGGATTGCAATCATTGAGATAGAATTGCAATCATTGAGATAGATCATAAAATTTATGATCTGTTCTATAAACCTTAACTTAGTTCACAATAAAAAAAAAAACTTTTCCTTTTAATAGGGGGCGGGGGGGGGGGGAAGGGGAAAATCTATAATCCTAATTTCCATCTCTAGCCCCATCTCTAACCAGGTTTCCCCTTCTTCCTTCTGTTCCTGTAATACCAACATTTAGTTGCTTTAACTTGCCACGTTCCTTTTCAGTCACAGACTCGATCACAAGCTGTTCACCTTGTTAGAGACTCTTCTCCCTTTGTCCTCTCTGGGTTACCTAGGGAACTCCTACTCATCCATAAATTGTAAGGTAATCTCTTCATAGAGGTATTCCCTGACCCCTGAGACTTAATCAAAGCCTCCCGGTTTCTCTTCATAACAATTACCACCATTTTTATTTATACATTTTGTTGTACAATGATTTGATTAATGTCCATATTGCCCACAATTCTATAAAGTTCATTGAGGGCAGGGAGTGCATTTATTAATTTTACCATATTATCCTTGAAGTCTATTGTAATACCTAGCACTGAGGAGGCACTCAAAGTGAACAAAGGACTGAACAAATGAAGGTTATAGTGATTTGTCCAAGGTCAAGCGTATAAGGCTGAGACTATAGCCAGATATTCTAATTCCCAGTACAGATTTCCCAGCTCCTCAACAAAAGGCTTAATTTGCTCTGACTTATTAGAATCAAGGCAACTCACAACTTACCAAGTCCAATTTCTCGACCCTGTCATTTTTTACATATTAGCACTTATTCAGCAAAGGGGTGTTGGAGGTGTAGCAATTTTTTCTTTTTTCATGAAATGCTTGTTATCTTGTTTTTCTATTTTGAGGTGTATTATGATAAACCCTGCCACTATTTAAAACTTACAAGTTTCTTGAAATTCTCAGAAAGAATATAAGGTGTAGATCAGAAAGTAATTTTGTCTTTTGCAATAGAATTTCTTGTTCAAAAAGTACTGGTGATTTCTAAAAGCTAACAGGTCCAAAAGAGCATTCTATTAGGTGAGATAATCATCATCGTATTCCCAACTGCTGTGTATATACATTCTATTAAAAGTGAAAAAAGGAGAAAGGCATTTTGCTGTGTGGAAGTACCTTATGTGTCTTATAAAATCCACATAAAATGTTCTGTGGTTTGAAAAGAGGCTGCTGCATTTATAAGACAAAGTAAGTTCCGTTTTACCCCTGAAGAATCCTGAAGATCTGACTCTCAAGGGTCTTTCATTTGGCGGATGAAAATGGCATCATTATTTTTGAATTCCCTCTGCTCACGTCAGTGACTCCCACCTGCAGCCAAACCACTGGCTATAAGTATCTATGAGTCGCCTTGCAGATTGCAGCCAGGGTAACTTCAACAAGGGCCAGCCAAAGCCAAACTCCTTGGTAAGCTTTATAAACCCTTTCTGCATGTTTCATTTCCATTGCACACCTTGGGGTGTATGGCAATCTGGATCACACTGCTATGGTGTATGTATGCTTCAGATATGTGTTGTGTGTAAGATGCAGTTCTCAGTTTGTGAAGTCTGAATGAATTTCTTTCCTTCTATCTTTTGATCTTTCTGGGGACTACTGTTTTAAGACTTATAAGTAAGCTGAATTTTTTTTAATTGTACTTTATTTAGAGACAAAAAAAGTGTTTATTTTTCCAAACATGTAAGACAGGCTCAGGTTTTCTAGGTTGTACTTATCACTGCTGTGCTTATTACTATAACCTTCCCATCATTATAGACTAATTTAATCAACTAGATTTGGGGAGGCATCACTTGCAATTGAATCCGGGGAAAAGATGGCTGTGAAATTTATGTGAATTAATATCTTATTTTTCCTTCCTGGTTTCTGTTTGAAAATGTTTTCCTCTTTCTCTTCCCCCTCTGTTTCTCTCAGTGACCATCAACATTTCCCTGATCTCTCCTTTCACGCAGCGTCATTCTACCATGTCCAAAGCACTCCTACTGCTCTTTGTTGCCTTGATACTTTTTGGACATGCACCTGGAACCACACTGAGAAATGAGGAGACGTGGAAGTCACTCAACAACCCCAGAAACCGAGATCTGGTAAGAACATAGCCCAGTGGGCTGCAGGGTGACACTGGTGCCTCCCTGGGTCTATGCACACTGCACTTTTTGTGCTAACTGCAAGGTCTGCAGTTCGACACTACCAGAAAGATAAAGTTTTCTGCTCCTTTAAATATTTACAGCCTCAGAAACCCTATGCAAGGTCACTAAGAGTAGGAACTGAACCACACAACCAGCAGATTAGCTGCAGGACTTCTGGTGTGATGCTGTAGAAGAAGCATTTGACCTCAAGGTCAGTTTGAACTACAAGGTCGGTGGCTCAAACTCACCAGTCACTCCTTGGAAACCCTTCACAGGGTCACTATGAGTCAGAACAGACTCAATGGCATACAACAACAGCAGATGAGCTGTAGGACTCCTGGTGTGGCACTGTAGGATAAGCACTGGACTGTGAACCACAAGGTTGGCAGTTCAACCCTACCAGCTGCTCCTTGGAAACCCTGTACAGGGTCATTATGAGTCTAAACCCATTCAGTGGCACTTAACAACAACAAATTAGCTGTAAGAAGTCCTAAACCCTAATGGCATAGAGGATTACACATTGGGCAGCTAACCACAAGGTCAGCAGTTGAAATCCACCAGATGCTCTGCGGGAGAAAGATGAGGCTTTCTGCTCCTATAAAGATTAACAGCATCGGATACCCTACACAGGTTATGAGTCAGAATCAACTCAATGGCACACAGCCAGCCAGCCAGATTTGCTGTAACATCATTTCCAAGGGAAAAAAAGTTCTACTTTGAATATTTTGGTGTATAGTTTATAAATAACATTGAATATTTTATTTCTCTCTTCAGTTTTTCAGAACCCTTCAAGAATATTTTAAAGGACGGGGTCTTGATCTTGGAAGCTTTCCAAATACTTTCTCCATTAATGAGAATCCCAGACCTCTCTCTTTCCAATCAGAACTTATTGCCTCTGCATTTGGGGATTATGAAGAGCAGAAAAACTCCTTTCCAAATTATCTCAAAGGCTGAAAGTTTCTTCTGAACTCAGGTAAAAGTTGTCTCTTTACTCCCAGGCCTTCTGCAAACATGTGGTGGTGGTGGTGGTGGTGGTGGTGGTGGTGGTGATGGTGTGTCGTGGAGTCAGTTCCGACCCATAGTGACCCTGTACAGGGTTTCTGAGGAGCAGCTGGTGAGCTTGAACCACCGACCTTGCAGTTCAAATGGCTTTGCAGTCTGGCACATTAACCCACAGCTCCTTTAAAATCTCTTTTATGGCTTTATGTCTGAGCTATAAACTGTGGTAGCGTATTGGTTATGAATCGGGCTGCGAACTGCAAGGTCAGTAGTTCAAAACTACCAGCTATTCCGCGGGAGAAAGATGAGGCTTTCTGCTCCCATAAAGATTTATAGCATATAACAACAACAACAACATTCTGTATGATAAGCACTGGACTGTGAACCAAACAGTCAGTGGTTCAAATCCACTAGCAGCTCCACAAGAGAAAGATGAGTCTGCTTCAAAAAAGATGTAAAACCTAGAAACCCTAACAGGGTTGCTGTGATTCAGAACCAACTTGAAGACATTTAAGAACAATAACAATTTGAAAAATGATATTATTTCCTCAGAGAAAAAATGCTCAGTTTTGATTATACTCATCACTATTAATATTTGGATTTGAGTCAGGTATTTTATGGTCTGGTTAAAAATTTTATCTGTCATTATTTTTTTAAAAGTAAAGTTTCCTGGGGAGTAGTATATTAAAATTATAGAATTAGCACTCTTAATAGCATTATTAAATGTAATTAAATAGCACGCACTGTTATCTCTATCTTTTTTTCAGGCCAGGTTATATATCTAACTCTGCAGAAAATCATATGTAAAGGAAATATTTCAAATTGAGCAGGTGGATTAGTGCAAAGTAAAAATGAAAAGAATAGTGGCTTTTGAAGAAAGTAGTAAGCATATATTTGAGTTTGAACATCTTAATTAGACGGGTAGGATATTAGTAAAGATACTGTTTTTCTCATAGGAAAAAATTTGAAATGTACCTGTTTCTTGTTATTGTTGTTGTTAAGTGCCATTGTGTTGGTTCGACTAATAGTAACCCCATATGAGATTTCAACAGCAACATACAGTTTCCAAGGAGTGACTGGTATGTTTGAACCACCAACCTTGTGGTTAGCAGTCCAGTGCTTATCCTACAGGACTGTGGGATTTGAAATTTAGTAATCTTATTACTTTAGCATTCCTATATAAAAAAAAATTATCTACCATTTTTAAAGAAACAGGTATGATGTAGTCCAAGAAAATACATTGTGATTCTAGTCCATTGGTTCTTTGTTCGGCTGTATAATAAAGGGACTGAATGGTCATTGAAATCTATTTCCATTCTTCTACAAGCCTACATGCATATGAAGTTGTGAGGAAGCATACAGGTGTTGCATCTCACTGTGTTTGTGAAAGGATTTTGATTATTTGTTCTTTTAAATGTGGTCATTAAAGAAAAAAAAAAAAACTGTTAGTTTAAAAAGAATATGCCATATACCATGTGTCACATGCACTTGAAAACTGTCCTAAAATAAGACAATACTCCTAGAAAAATGTTAATGATAGGCTATGCTCACTATTTTCCCCATCAAGACCGCAGAGTAGCAGATACTAAAACAAAGGAGAATAGTGACCAATACCGTAGTAACTGGTGTGTCGCTGTAGGCTAAGTACTGGACCGCAAGATCAGTTTGAACAGAAAGGTCAGCAGTTCAAACCTACCAGCTGCTCCTTGGAAACCCTATACAGCGTTGCTATTCGTTGGAACCGACTCACTGACACTTAATAACAATCTGCTTTACAGAAGGCAGTGGTAATTCAGTGGTAGAACCCTCAGCTTCCATGTGGGAGACTCAGGTTGAATTTCTGGTCAATGAACCTCCAAGGTAGTCACCACCGGTCTGTTAGTGGAGGTGTGCATGTTGCTATGATGCTAGATAGACTTCAATGAAGCTTCCAGACGAAGACAGACTAGAAAGAAAGATCTGGTAGTCTATTTCTCAAAAACAGTCAATGAAAGCCCTATGGATCACTATGGTCTGATCCCACTGCATGAGTCTCCATGTGTTAGATTATGATGGAGGTCGACTTGATAGCCACTAACAATAACAACCACCAACTATTTTAGAAAGTGGCAGGCTTGCATACAGATTGCTTGTAAACCCCAATTTCCTCATCTGAAAATTACAAATACTAATCTCTAGTTCCTCATAGAAACATCATAGAAGTATCATACAAAATGCCAAATAAATACTTTGAGGTGTGCATGAAATGAGCTAATATTTAAGTTGTTGTTGTTAAGTGCCATCTAATCAGTTCTGACTCAGAATGATCCTGTTTAGGACTTCTGAGGCTTTACATCTTCGAGAACAGAGAGCCTCATCTTTCTTTCACCGAGCGGCCGATGGGCTCAAACCACACACCTTGAGGTTTGCAGTCCCGTGCTTATTGTATAAAGCAGAGGAAGCACTCAGTATTATTATTATAAGATAATGGGAATTAGTCAACATGGTGAAAGAAGTAAAGCTTTTGATTGTAGGTATATTTTATAATTACAAGCTCTTTTCCTAACATCTCTGATTAGAAAATGAAGACAAAAAGAATTTTCACTAAAATATATAGCTCTTTAGTTCTTTGTGTTTATTGTACACTCTTCATTATCTGTCTATTTACAACATTTTCTTGTTCTTTCAGGTTCTAGCTACTTCTACACTACATATGAAGCTTCTCATTAGAAAATGTCAACTATAGTCACAGCTAAACTTTCCTGTTTTCTCTCATTTGTATTTGTTGATGCCAAATTTCCATATAGACAGCTTGACCTTTGAGGCATATGTGCCTTATGTGTATATTTTTGGAATGTTTCTTCTTTCTATAATCATAAAAATTGATGTAGAATATTGCATGTATTTGAAAGAGTCACAAAACCTCCACAAATTCAAAAGATAGGATGATCTCTCAAATTATGTTTCATTATAGCTTATCTTTTAAAGGTTTCTTTTATGTTTATTACCTTTATCAACCCATATTTTTATTTTAAGGTACTCTGTATTTTAAGGTACTCTGGTGGCACAGTGGGTTGTACTGCTAACCTAAAAGATTGATGGCTTGAAGCCATCAGCCATTCAGTGGGAGAAAGATGTGAACAGTCTGCTTCTGTTCTTAGAAACCCTCTGAGGCAACTATACTCTGTCCCACAGGATCTCTATGACTAGGAATTGACTCAACAGCAATGAGTTTGGTGGGTTTTTTGGATACATTCCAAAATAGTTTTTTGTGGACTTACTATGGATAGTTGATGCTGAATGTAAATAATAAAATATTTGTTCAAGAACAGATTTTGTCAATAGTGAGTAATTGTTACCTATTTGTGATTGTCACAATTGTAAAGGTAGACATTTTCTAACAAAAACAGGGGAGTAGTTAATCTTACATTCTATAAACAGAGGACCCTAGGACCATCAAGGGAGAAGAGCACAAGTAGAATGCAGGATCCTATCCAGAGAAGCAGCGGTACCAGAGATGGAGGCAGAGATGGGGGCATAGAGAGAGGGAGCATCAGAGGACTCTAGATTCATGAAAAGAGAGGGACTGAGAGCTGGCGGCCAGGAGGCAGACTTGCAGAATGTGCCCTTCAGTGGTGTAATTTATTATAGATGCCTGAATGTTTGGAAGAAAAAAAGAGCTAAAATGAATAGAGAGAAATACTGTTAACTGAT